GCTACGGCCCTGGCGCTTGTGTGGAAGCTCTGAGTGCCTCCTCATAGGCAACCAGCTGCTCGTGCAGCCCCACATTCTCCTTGAACTCCCACTGCGCAAGCTGGCGCATGATCGCCAGAGAACACGTGCGCTCCTTCGGTTCCATCTCGCACCGAAGCCTTCTCAAGGCCTCGTATCCATTCTTCTCCTTCTCCTTGATCAAAAGCAAAGGCCTGCCTTTGACCAGGGAGCAAAGTGCTCCAAACAATCGCTGGCTGCGACTTGCTGTCTCGTCCGCAGCAAACTATTGTCGATCTTCTCGTTCCAAGTGATGTCCTCCATGTCGCCCTCGAACTCGGGGTCATTCGCAATCAACCAAGTGCACAACTGGAAATGCCATTTCTTCCACGTTCGCAACTCCTCCTCTCTGTCGTTTCGCTTCCACTCAGGCATCCTCAAGGCCTTCAGAAGACCATTACTCTTTGAGGCCACTGCCTGTGATTCTGCTGAGCAGCTTGCTTCGTCGTTGTAATCAACCTTGAGAAAACACTTCCCAAAGCTTGGTCCAGTCTTCCTCGGACGATCCTGTCAACTTAATCTCGTGTCGCTGCCTCTACATCAACGGGCTGGCTCGGTCCAGCACTTCCCATTCCAGGCTCCTGTCCACTCGAAGGCTCCATTACACCCACCAGACACAGTCTCTAAACCACCTACTCCAACCACTCACCAGGAAGAATCGATATCCAACCTAGACTAGAGTTGTGGCGAAAGGCTGCACGTTCTGGGCGGAGGACAACCGGGACCACAGTCAGGAAGTTCGCCCACGACTGCATTGAGCCGCACCGGTCAAGAGGAGGAACTGGGTAGCAGCAAGGAGGAGGAAGTCATCGCCTCGGCCATAGCAATGCTGCGCTACGTCTGGTGCAGACATTAAGCGAAAGTTTGGGTAGGCCGTAAGGAAGGAACCTCCGTCACTTAAACTGCTCAACGCGTCCGTGGAGACAGTCCGCGAAAGCAGCAGCGGCAAGACCTTCAACGAGGACCTCATGGTTGCGACAGTGGTCATGCTGCACGGCCGAATTGCAAGCACTTTGGAGCTCCAAAGATTGCACGTCCTGGCGCCTCGAAGCCCTAACATCTGCAGGCCTGCGAAATACCAAATTCTTGGGCACTCGAAACAGGGCTTGCAGCTGACACAGAACAGAGACTGGGAACACCCTCCCCAGAGAGAGAGCCATCACCTTCCCAAATTCCTCGGTGCTGACTGCCGACACCGTCATCACCTCGGCATCCAAGCTGAACTCTCCCCAATCGCTCTCGCACTCAATCTCGGAATTGTCAAAGATTTCCACAGCCCTGCAACGTGGAGGTATTCTCAAAGGCATTGCTTGAACTTGCTGCACTGCGCTCGGTGTTCTATAGGCTGTGGCCGAGGTCGAGGCTGATGAAGCTCCGGGCGAAGTGGGTTTACCAGCTCCATCTTCAACTTGCCCTTGGAGGGCCACTCGCTTCCAGCGCCTGACTGGCCACACTTGTGGCAGACATTGCTTTGTCCTCCTTCTTTGCTCTTGCTCTTCGAGTTGCCATTGCTGTTGCTTTTCCCTCCATGCTGGTTGCTTTCCCACCAGCTGTTATTGTTGCTGTGGTTTCTGCCATCCTCCGACGCCTTTGCCTCTGCCCCACTGGGCTTACTGCTGTCCTTTGCTCCACTGCTGTTGCTTGCATCTCCTTTGGCCCATTTTCCTTTCGCTTTGCCTTTGTCGTCTTTGCCCTTCTTGCCCTTCTTTCCTCCTTTGCCCCAGCCTTTGGCCCAAACTTGGTCCATCCATCGGATGCGCTTCTCCTCCTTGGGCTTTGCTGCTGGTGCTCAGGCTCAAACTGCAGGGCGTGTTGACGTTCTCACACTGGAGGATCCACTCTCTCAGATCGCTGTGCTTCGTATCGCGGTTCATCCTCAGCTGAACCTGACTCTTCAAAGCCTTCAGGCCCTTCGAAGGTATTTCGGAGACCTGTCACAGGCTAGGAAGGCCTGCAAGCCACTAGGAAGTGGCCTGCGAGTGGCCAGGAGTGGCCTGCAAGCTACTGGCTTGCAAGCTACAAGAGACCACTTTGCGGGCCTACGACCAGCTAGGAGTGGCTTGCGAGCTACTAGGGAGCACTTTGCGGGCCTACGAGTAGCTAGGAGTGGCCTGCGAGGAGCTAGGAAGCCATTCGGAAGTGCTGCGAGTTAGAAGTGCTGCGAGTTACTAGGAGGCCTCAGAAGCCTGCGATTGCTGGTTTGCGAGTCGCAAGCCTACGAAGTTGCTGGCTGGGGGGCAGTTTGGAGGCTTTTTGCAAGCACTTTTGAACCCCGAAGATTGCTTGAGCTCCGTCCCGCACGTTGCAGAATCGACAGGCCTATGAAGTGCCGAATTCTGACCTATGTCTCGAAACGAGACCTGTAGCCTACACAGAGTGTGGAGCTGGAACACCCTCCCCAGAGAGAGCGGAAATACTCAAATTGGTTCGTCCGGGTACAGGGCAAAGGAATGACAAAAAATGACAAGAATGACAAGCTCCAGGCCGGCCCGAAAAAAAAATTAATTCCAAGACGTCAGCACGATATACACTCGAGGACATCGGCACAATGACAGGAATGACAAAAATGGCAAGCTCCAGGCTGGCCCGAAAATAAAAATAATTAAACAATTAATTCCAAGACGTCAGCACGATATACACTCGAGGACATCGGCACAATGGAATGACAAAAATGACCTGGCTCGAAAATAAAAAATAAATAATTAATTAATGACGAAATCGTACACTACCCGAAGTGGAGGATTCCGTCCCTAACTTCACAAACCCCCCTTTTTTAGGAAGCGAACGACGGAATCGTTAACTGCGGCAACGGAAATCCAGCTCCTCGCAGTGCCTGTCGATGCTGCTCCGTCGCCCCTGCGGGACATAGGCTGCGAGCGCCCACATGCTGCCCTCGTGCGGCTCCACCATGTGATAGCGGCGGGCATCGAAGCTGACGGGCTTGTCGTGCATGTCGAGCCATCTGCCCCGCAGCTCTCGTCCGCCCTTCTTAGTCGGCCAGCCAGGCTGTGGAGTCCCCTTCGTCGTCTTCGATCCACACACGCCCCCCCGTGTACTCTCCCAGAGCAAGCGCATGATTCAAGTGCCCGGGCATGTTCTGAATGTCACGGCGCAGGCCCATGCGGGGATTGAAAAGCACGGCGACCGAGGTCCAAGTGCCCTTCGGAAAGCGGCTCTTGAGAAAGCAATTCACGGCTGCGCAGGCCTCCCGCAGGCCCGTGGCACGGGAGACACCGACCACCCCACCGTGCCCGAACAGCCCCAGTGTGGCGTATCTCTCGTAAGCCCCGGGTCCCACAGCCCGGGTGCGGCCTCGGTGCGTCCAATCCGCCGACCACAGATCCAACAGCCGCACGAGATTGCCTTCGGTGGGCTCCTCCGTGGCGTCCCGGCACGCCAGCTCCATGCTTTTTTCTTAACACAACACTCAGTTTCAACACAGGGCACAACGCAGGTCCCGCCTGTGTTGAAGGGAGCGACATTGCCGAGATTTCACACCCCAAGCGCACATGGCCCTAAAACACCATGCCGCGCCCCAATTTTTTTGGATTTTGGGCCCGCCCGCCGGGATCGTGCCCCGACGGCCCCCGGCGGCCGGCCGTTTTGCGAGCCGACCACGCACGGATGCGAGCCCGATTTTCAGCACAACTGCCGCCCCAGCGCAACCGACAGTCATTTGGGCCTGTCAGCTTCGCAAGGACGACGACTTCGATGGAGCCTTCATGTTCATGTGCAAGTGCTTCAGTCGAAGGGGTTGGGTTTCCATGATGGTCTCCTGTAACTGCCCAGCCCCAACACGGCATCTAAGATTGTCGCAGCAAGGTGCATCTTCGCTCAAAGAGCAACGTGAAACAACTGTGATAATTCGCGAAAGAATCGCGTTTTCGCAGCAAGTGCATCTTCGCTTACAGAGCAATATTTCGCGAAGAATGGCGTTCTTTCGCAGCAAAGTGCATCTTCGCTCAAAGAGCAACGCAAAACCGTCATTTCGTGAATCGCGTAATATTGTCCTGACTCAAAATGATTCAACAATGAATCAAACTGACTCAAAATGACTCAACAATGACTCAACAATGACTCAACAATGACTGAACAATGACTCAACAATGACTACAATGACTCGAGACTTAAGAATGACTGCAAACGCAGCAGAAGTGTTCCTCGCATTCCGTGCACACGCGCCACGCACGTCGCACGCCACGCACGCATGCACACGCCGTGCGCACCGCGGATGCCAAGCACACGCGCGCAGCTATCTTTTGCAAGAAGCTCGCAATGATAAAACATGGCAGCCGCAGCCGCAGCAGCAGCAGGAGCAGCAGGAGCAGGAGCCAGGAGCGCAGCAGAGCAGCACAACCACAACCACAATCGCAGCCACAGCCACAACCACAACCACAACAACAATAGAATAGCAACAGCACCAAAAACCCTCCCCCCGCCAGGTCATGTGGAGCATTACCAACGTCGCTGACACTGAGGACGATGCACGACGACTTGCGCCCTCCCGCTCGTTTTGCTGTTCGCTGGCGGGGATTTTTTCTTGCGGATCGACGGGCACTAGTCACAAGTAAAGGCTTGCAGACTTCGCACTTCATGTGAGCATCATTTGTGTTAAATTGTGGTTGTGTCTGCCTTGATTTTGGGCCGCACATCACTTGTGCTGATGGATGGACCACGTGAATCGTGCGCCTTGGGTTGGCGCATGCTTGCAAAGTTTCTTAAGCTTGAGGTTGCGAATGTTTCCGGACTGCTCAAGAGATGTGGGTTAGCAAGGTAAGAAGGTCAAAATGAGAGCAGCCGCAGTCTCAGCTTGCCCCGAGCTGCTGTTTTCGTAGATCTTTTGTGCGAAGAGTTTTCAAGAGCTTTCATCCTTGTAGCCAATTAACTAGCGACTGAACGCATGTCAGCACGATTGAAAAATGACTAGCGGCAACCGGCCAGCCATGCCCCAGTCGTTTTGCACTCCTGCCTGGCCAAATCTTGCTCGAGTGGCTGGCCAAACAGGTCCACCAGCAATCCCTGCTGTGGTGAGGCGACCCGCCGCTCCAAATGCCAGCCAAGCAATGTACATTAGCGGTAGCTACCACTTTGTGCAGGGCCCTGTGCCGCACCAGTTGCCCTGGACTTTGCCCACCGCGCCGCCCGCGGCGCCAGCAGGACCTGGATCAACGGCGACGCGCCTGAGTCATGGAGGGGAATTCGAAGAAGGTGACGAAGTCCAAAAAGTGCTACAGATTGAACAGATTTCCGTGGCAAGCGGTGTCTTGGGTCAGGAGGTTGAACAAAGTTTCAGCTTGGTCTTGGAGCAGCTTGGGTTGGCATTCAAACAAAACCAGGTCTTCAAACAGACGGAAGGTTCATGGCAGATAACGGACGAGTTCGACCACAAGCTCAAGCAGCGTCAGAAGCTTTTCGAAGATCTTCGCACAAATCCTGACATGGACTGCGGCACAAAATTACACGACACCGACTACATGCGGAAGTTGCTGAAGGTTGCGCAGTCGACGAGCGACAGGAAAAGACGTGCCAGTGCGATCATGGGCGTGAAGCCTTGGTCAAATGAAATGAAAGCATTCGAAGTCGACTTCGTCGTTTCCGGGCCAATGGACGGTTGTGAAGCTATGGAGATCCCCATCCAACTTGCTCGGATCGGGGACCCCCCGGCAGTTGCTTGGACAGAGATCCAGACTCTTTGCAAGAATGGTGCGTTGATAGAAGTAACTGCCCAGCCTTGGCAGCAACACAAACCCGAAAGCTGTACATGGAAATGGCTGGTGGAAGCGCAAACATGCAAGTTTCCCAGCGGACAGTCTTTGTACTTTTTCAATGGCTTTGATGGTGCCAAGCTGGCAAAGCATAGGCAGCGCATCCACGTATTCTGGTACAACAGAAAGCAGCTGCTGTCCTTCCCAACCTCGTTGGAGCACCTGAGGCGCAGCCTTTGCTGCATGACAACATGTGAGGCTGTGTGTTTTGCGTTTCGCGCCTCGGTGTTCAACAGCTGCAGGCAAATCGAAGATCTTCGGGGAGAAAACGAGGACTTGAAGCAGAGGCAGCGGCAAGGTTTGTTCGACAGCAGGAAGAGCAGTCAGTCTTTGCTGACACGACAACATTTGAGGCTGCGTGAGTCTTCTGCCACCCGAGGTCATGCTCAAGGCACGTCAGAAGAGACATTTCTGGTTGAGCAGTGCCACAGTGCGCACACACACATGAAACTGAGGGCTATATCTTCAGGAGAGCGTTCGTTCCCGTTATATTCTGTTCCGACTGCACATGCGAAGAATGGAAGACAGGCACCAGCGTCTGGGTGCAGTGACCCGCATGGACTCTGAGCGCAAGGAATCGTTGATCTGCAAGTTTGCTGTCAGTTCATGTTTGCAGCGTTGACCTTCGACTTGCAGGACAAACAGCTCACATAAGATTTGCAGGGTTTGTTGCGCTTCTTGTGTCCAGCATGTCTCAGCTTCGGGTATAGGTTGAATGGATGCAATTGGCATGAACTGGTAGCGCGTTTGCTCTGCGAGGACAGGTCTACGATTGAGGTCGCCGGCAGTGCATTCAAAGTAGATCGAGTTGAAATCCTCTATGACCTCCTGCAGCGGGAGCTTCAGCAGCTATCTGCCGAGGCACACAGAGCATGTCTTGGCGCTCCTCGAAGGCGCTGGCCAAAACATGCTCTCCGGCGAAGAGCTGGTAGCTGACTTCTCGCAGGGCTCCCAGGGGCTGGCGAAGACGGATCTGGGTGTCGAGTCGATTGTCGATGACCTGCATGGAGGAGGAGCTGTGGGCCCAGTCGTTGGTGGGGTGAAGGAAGTAGGTCTCTCCCGATATCATGTAGATTGGCTCGTTCGCCTCGGGCTGCCCCAGCTGCCGGAGCACGGCATCCTTGACGTTGCGGGCAACCTGCCTTGCTCCAGGCGTCGTTTTGTCGGGACAGCCCCAGTTCCAGGGCTGTCACAGCCACTCCGTGTACTTGTCCTTGAAGAAAGCCTTCCCCAGTTTGGTCAGATGGTACTGTCCGTTGGCCTGCAGGGTTCGCACAAGCTTCCGTGCGCCGCCCCTGGTCAAGATGTAGTCCGAGGGGCCGTCTCGAATGAGAGGCTGGCTCTGGTCGAACTGGCGACTGGGCGGACTGCGGCCGGTGATGTCGTGATAGAACTGCCCGGCTCGGGTGAGCTGCCCGTTGGGGCGAGTCAGGAGCACGGATTGCAGGCGGTGGTCCCTCAAGGGCAGAAGCTGCGAGCCTTGCGCTGAGATCGGCTGCACGTCGTGTCGCTTCGCGTTGTTGCATCCATGACATGATTTCTAGGTCCCTCCCAAAAAAAATGTTCGGCCCGTGAACGCCTTTACCCAGACGAACCAGGACATCGGCACAATGACAGGAATGACAAAAATGACAAGTTCGCGCTGGCCCGAAAATAAAAAATTTTTTAATTCCTGGAATTCGCGAACTCGCAGTTCACGCACTTCGCGAGTTCGCGAACTTGCAGTTCACAGTTCGCGAATTCCAGGAATTAATTAATTAATATTGAATGTTCATTTTTTTAGTACACGTCGTGCCGACGTCCTGGAATGAATTGATTGTTTTTTTTTGTTTTCGGGCCGGCGCGAACTTGTCATTTTCGTCATTTCTGTCATTGTGCCGATGTCCTCCAGTATACGTCGTGCCGACGTCCTGGAATCAATTAATTATCGATTTTTTATTTTTTCGGGCCGGCCTGGGGCTTGTCATTTTTGTCATTCCTGTCATTGTGCCGATGTCCTCCAGTATACGTCGTGCCGACGTCCTGGAATTAATTCATCATTCATTTTATTTTCGGGCCGGCCTGGGGCTTGTCATTTTTGTTATTTTGGTCATTCCTTTGCCCTGCACCCGGAAGAGTTAATTTGAGTATTTCCGCTCGTTCTGTGTCAGCTGCAAGCCCTGTTTCGAGAGATGCCCAAGAATTTGGTATTTCGCAGGCCTGCAGATGTTAGCTTCGAGGCGCCAGGACGTGCAATCTTTGGGGCTCCAAAGTGCTTGCAATTCGGCCGTGCGCAGGCTTCGGAGGTATTTCGGAGACCTGTCACAGGCTAGGAAGGCCTGCAAGCCACTAGGAAGTGGCCTGCGAGTGGCCAGGAGTGGCCTGCGAGCTACTAGGAGTGGCTTGCAAGCTACTAGAGACCACTTTGCGGGCCTACGAGTAGCTAGGAGTGGCTTGCGAGCTACTAGGGAGCACTTTGCGGGCCTACGAGTAGCTAGGAGTGGCCTGCGAGGAGCTAGGAAGCCATTCGGAAGTGCTGCGAGTTACTAGGAGGCCTCAGAAGCCTGCGATTGCTAGTTTGCGAGTCGCAAGCCTACGAAGTTGCTGGCTGGGGGGCAGTTTGGAGGCTTTTTGCAAGCACTTTTGAACCCCGAAGATTGCTTGAGCTCCGTCCCGCACGTTGCAGAATCGACAGGCCTATGAAGTGCCGAATTCTGACCTATGTCTCGAAACGAGACCTGTAGCCTACACAGAGTGTGGAGCTGGAACACCCTCCCCAGAGAGAGGTGATGGAGTTCAAAATGGATAGCACCGATGAGGATGATGAGTGGGTTGTTTGGGAGCCGACTGTCTATGACCAGAACTTCTTGGAAACAGAGGTTGAAATCAACATGGTGCAGCACTATGGAAGAGTCCAACCTGGAGGCACTGAAGTGGAGGTCGTAATGGACTCAGGAGCAGACGTTTCGGTGGCTCCACTTGACTTCGCAGGCCTGGGCGACCGGCTGGACCTCTGGAAGTATTCATGCGAGATGCTCAAGGCCATGAAATTCAACAACATGCTGCAAGATACTTGAATGTGGAGGTGCAAGATGATGAAGTCAAGTTGGTTACCATCCGGGAGAAGTTCGCCATAGCCAAAGTGAACTCACTCATCATCTCGCTGGGCAAGCTCTGGAGGAGCGGCGGGAGGGGGAGCACAGGAAAGAAGGGTTGAGCGCAGAAACAAGGGGAAAGGATCCTCCCAATGAGATTGAGAAGGAACCCCCTGGTCATGACTGCCCTGGTTTCGTCCATTGCCATGTTGGATGTCTCGGCGCTTCTCCCTCAGATCGAGGATGTGATCGAAACGCCAGGGTGGAGCATACTGCCCTCAGGCCTTCCAGTTCTGGTGGCGCACAGAACCAAAGAGATCCCCTTCGAGCAGGCAGTGTGGTCGAGCGACGACTGGGAGTGGGTCGCGGTCTTTGTTCGGCGTGAAGAAGCTGTGCGAGGACCTCGGCGCGGAGATACCTGGGTTCAAGTTTGCGCCATGACGACCTATGACTTTGAGCACTCGCCGAAGGTGATCACGAACATCGAGTCTGAGCTAGCTGGGTTCAGGGATGTGTGTGTGCTTTTCCACGTGGCAGAGCTCAACCGGGATATCTTGACGAATCCCGGGACCCTCTTCGATGAGCCCAAGGAGTTCGATGAGCCCTATGTGCCTGGAGATGTCGGGGGTGGTCTTGGCGATGAGCCAATGGAAGTGCTTGGAGGAGAACGGGACCTTCGAGGACAAGTTCGGCACGCGGATCTTGAAGACGACGAGTTGGATGGTGTGGAACTAAGCATGGAAACCCCCCTCAAGAATCTGAAAGATCTCTGTGACAAGCTCGGGGTGAGCAAGAGTGGGCCAAAAGCTCGTGTTCTTCGGCGACACCTTGTTCCGAGATGAGAGGCCTGGCTGTGACACAGGCCTGGTGCTGCATGCTGATGATGGGCTTCTTGCTTCAACACCAGCAGCCCGACAAGCCCTTGAGAAAGTGCTCGCCAAGAAGGTCAAGGTTCAAATCAGCAGCCCGCTGAAGGAGGTGGGGGATGAGCTGGAGTTCCCGAAGCGAAGATATGTGAAGCTTGAAGATGGGATAGCAATGTATTCGGGGCAAAAGCATGTTGAGGCTCTCTTGGAAGCAATGGGGCCTGGATGAAAAGCAGAGACACTCCAGGAGATGCCAGTCTCTTGGAAGCTGATACAAGTGCCGCCCTAGCTCCTGAAAGGGCCAAGCAGTACAAGGAGTGTACTGGCAGGCTCTTATACCTGAGCCACACGAGGCCGGACATACAGTACAGCACATGTGTCCTTGCAAGTAAGATGAGCTCACCAACCGTTATGGCCTACAAGTGGCTGGCGAAAGTCGCCGGCTACCTCCAGAAGGTTCCCAGTTTTTGGCTTCCTGATCAAGCCTTTGCAACAAGCAGCCTGTTTGGAATACAAAGGCTCAGGACCCCTTCAGCACGGAGGCCAGGTCGTCTTGGAATCCGTAACAGATGCTGACTGGGCTGGGTGCAAGCGAACAAGAAAGTCTCGCTCCTCGGTGCATCTGTACCTGGGTGGCAGCTTGATTGCCAGTCACGTTAGAACTCAGAAATCTGTGTCGCTCAGCAGCGGGGAAGCGGAATTCGTTGCAATGGTGAGTGGGGGCACTGAAGTTGTGTTCATCCGGGAGTGCCTCGACTACTTGATGAAAGGGTTCGCTGAGATTGATGTTGTGCTTCGAAGTGACAGTGCTGCAGCTAGAGGCATCAGCCAGCGAATCGGCTGCGGCAAGGTCAGACACTTGAGCTGTGGCCTTTTGCGGGTCCAAGAGGCCATCAAAGCCAAGGTCTTCCGTGCAAGCCCTGTGTCAGGGCAACGAAACCCCTCTGACCTGGGTACAAAACCTCTGAGCGGCCCTCGCGTCCGAGAGCTCCTATGTCGAAGTGGAGCAGTGGACGATGATGGAAATCCATATGGACTTGAGGACCTTGAGAGATCCCAGAGCAAGATGCAAGTGAAAGAAATGATGAAAAGCAGCAGAGTGGGCCTAGTGCATGCGAAGAAAATTCTGCCGATCTTGCTTGTGATGGCCCAAGTGCTTGGGGCTGATGGTGCAGAGGGCTTGGGCCTCGCCGTGACGATGGCGATGATGGAAGATGCTCTTCTGTCTGGAGTGGCTACGATGGCGACTGGCCTGGTAGTAGTGTTGTTTTGGCTTGGGGCTTCGTGGGTCATTTGGTGGATCTACAGATGGGCCCTTCCAGGCCGACGAGCAACTGTGGACCAGGCCAACCAAGCAAAAGTGGAAAAGGTGAACCGCTACACCCAAGCGAGCATCGGAATGTCACCAAGCGAGCGGCAGTTCATGAACGAGTATGTCGACAGATGTAGTTTTCTCACCGAAGCCCTGCGTGAAGAACATCGTACTGTAGAGCAATGCGAGGAAGCTTTGATTGAGGTTCGCAATGAGAATAGGGATCTTCGTGCAAGGCTCGCTAGGAGTGAAGGGCTAGGATATGCCCCCGAGTCAATCACAATCGCAACTCACCGGGGGACAGTGTATCATCGTGAAGATTGCGGAGCCCTGGCCAACAGTCGTCATATCACCAGATACAGGGCCTGTGATTTTTGTATTCGGGCCAGGGCAACAGAAATGTAGCGAGAGTTCCTGAGTACAGCACTCAGGAAATCTCGAGGCGGGGTGCAAGAGTTGCACTCCTTTTGCCTCACATGTATCCATACCAATCGGCAGCCCTTTGCGGTTCAGCGAAAAGTCTTTCACAACTGCAGCGGACCTGAGCTCTTCTGCGCCTCTCGCGCAGAAAGCAGCGCCTAGAAGGTTGCAGGCAGCCTGCCTGCGCGCGTCCAACGTGCTGGTGCTGCACCGCGCCCCATACACCGATGCAGAATCCAACACTTTATACACACACGCACACATACACACATACACACATACACGTACACACATACACAACATACATACATACATACATACATACATACATACATACATAAATGGCCCCTTCCCACAAAAAACAGAAATCAACATGTTTTTAGTGTTTTGGGCACTCCACTCAACATACCCAGTCGACAGCGGTAGGCAGCCAAAATCACGAAATGTGTGGTTCTTTGGGAGGGGGGCTTGAAGATGCTTCAGACAACTTTGCCAGAGCATCTGAAATGTTGAATTTTTGACCCCAGGGCCGATGGAGCACTCGACTGGCCGGGATTGAAGATTTCAATCTTAAATTTGCAATCCTGGCCCGGTTAGGCATGCTGAATCGGCAGGGCTTGATGAGGTCGGGGATTGAAGATGCTCCGGCGAGAGTTCCCCGGCATCTTCAATCTTCAATGTTCAATCTTCAATCTTCAATCTTCAATCTTCAATCTTCAATCTTCAATCTTCAATCTTCAATCTTCAATCTTCAATCTTCAATCCAAGGGCTTCTTGAGAGAGCTGCAAAGAATTGGACTTAGGGAATAATGTTAAGGGAACAGGATCTGGGAGCAAGATCCAGGGACCCCGCGCTTTAAGATTTACGAAAAGGACTTGGGGAACAGGATCGATTTTTAGCATGTAAGGGTTCTCCTCTGTACGATTTTAAGGACGCCCCTGTTCAGAGAATTGGGGAATGAAACTAAGGAGCTAAAGTTTAGGGAGTAAGATGTAGGGATCCCGGCTCTTTAGGAAAAGGGTTAAGGCCATAGAGCCATAAATCCCAAAGAGGAGAGCCCCTAATTCATAAAGAAGAAAGAGCCCCCAACATCCTGGACAACAAGCCCTATTCCCTGAATGCTTTTCTCTAAGACCTAAAGGCCTGATGTGGATCCCAAAATCTTGATTCCTAAATCCTCTTCCCTTATTATCATTCGCTAAGTTTCCACAGAAAGGCGTTCTTAAAAACCTGAAGAGGAAAGCCCCGATGTCTTAAAAGATCCTCTTTCCCAAGTCCTTGTCACTAAATCCCTAGATCTTGTTCCCTAATCTTCTTTCCTTGATTTCATTCAAATATTTAATGGCTAGTGATACGTGAAACAGACAGGCACCTGGATGTGCAACATTCAGTGTTTCAACCCCTCTGCCGTGATTCTGTGCTGCTGCATGTGCAGTTGTCCTTGCTGTACATCTGCGACAATCAGAAGTAGGGTTGGTCCATAGACGTTCAGCGGGTCCACAAGACTATTTTTTTCATGTTTCTCTTCCACCGCACACATCCACCTAAGTCCCACGCCTCAGCCATCAACCCGACAACACCATGCCCACCCTTCCCGTTCACTGCGCACGCGTTCCGAGCAGTCCGCATGTGGCGATCGAACCCCCCTCCATGTTTCAGCAGTATTTGGTCGAGCTCGTTCGCTGTGGGTGTTCAACTTTTTATCTTACAGACCTACTCGCGGAAGCAGTTGTTTCAAACCTGCGTGAAATTACTTCGTGGAAGTGTCCACGGAAGCAATCGCTTAATAATTAAATAACAAGTAGTGAAAAAACTACTGAAATATACTTGTTAATGAATAAATACCAAACTCTTCATTCATAATTACTTCATACTTAATGAATAATTAATTCAGAATTCATTAATTAATAGCTAAGAATAAAGTTACGAAAAGTTAATAGTTAACTTAAGAATACTAATTTATTTTCATGAATTTTAAAGAATTAAACATTTGCGCAATAGTCAGTATCTACTTAATAAAAAATCAGAATTACGTAATATTTACTTATTAATTCATTCAGAATAAGTTGATAATTAAAGAATAATTAACTACTGACTAATGAATATTTTTTAAGTAGTAATTACTAATTATATTTTTAACTTAATATCTAATCAAAGCTTAGTATCTAATTATTAATCCCGTGGAAGGGTTCCGCGGAAGGGTTCCGCGGAAGGGTTCTGCGGAAGGGTTCGCTGTTTCATGGACAGTCTTGTAGGAATAAAACCACAGCTCATATGTAGCGCTCGCAGGATAGGCCGCATTACTACAGTACAGGCAGCCCGTGCGCGAGGTTCACGTGTTCGGGAGCGCAGGCAGGAGTTTCAGGGCGGAGAGCGTTTCACACCGTCAGGCCACCACGCTGAGGCCCACAAGTGTAGCATGCGGGGTCACCTTGAGAGCTCTCACGCAGGAAGATTTCCAAGGCATGCCTTGGACCATGATTAGTGCCCTGAGCATCCTAGTATGGATAAGTTTTCGACTTTGCCATCAAAGTGCCCGGTTTCCTCCTAGGTGCTCGGCTGGGCATGCTAGATCTCCTCCAACCCGCCGTGCCTCAGGTCAGCTGTGGATAGAGCCACCGACTCTGCAAGAGAGGACCGTTATTGTTTCTGCTTGGGGCTTCAAGCATTATTGCGCCGTTTCAGAAACGATAGAATGTGCATATATGTGAACGGGGTTCCTCGCACGCAGCCATTTTGGTTTATTCAGGGCGTGGTATGTTCAAGCCAATTTTGGTGTAGAAAACACCATGGTAAAGAGCAGCATGAGCTAAGTAGACTGGAGTAGACCGCGCCTCGTGCTTTTTATCCTTTGTAGGCTGCGGGGCAGGATTGAAATATGGTGCACAACCATGGCACAGTCCTTTTGGCCCCGCAGAACCTGGCAGTTTCCGGTGCGAACCAGGTTCTGCACAACATTGTGGCCGGCAACTTTTTCCGAGGCAACATCGTGCTGGTGGCACCATCAACCGGGCCGTTTGCCTCAAAGTTCCAGGAGTTTGGAGTTTCGATCCGAATCGGCAAGGTTGAGGACATCCTGGACATGATCCGAGACATCCGCTTCGCAATCTGCAACACCATTATGACAGCCCACATTGTCAAGATCCTGCAGAGGCGTGGGGTTCCGTGTGCCTGGATTTTGCACGAGTGGTGGACCAAAGAGATGATTCCCGAGGAGCTGCAGAAAAGGAACGACAAGAACCTCACAGTAGCTACGGTGGAGGAAGCCTTGCAAACCTGCTCTGCCACCGTGGCGGTGTGCGAGCGCCAGTTGCATCTATACGGCCCTGCACACGGCGAGGTGATCTTTGTGGGCACACCAGATGTGGACCCAAGCAGCTTCCCCGCTCTAAAGGCACCTGGAGGCTACCCTTCCGGTGATCCTGGCTGCCCGCCCAAGGACGTTACCACCTTCTTGTGCATCGGAATCGTATGCCCTCGGAAGAACCAAGCATTTACAGTGAAGTGCTTCAAAAAGTTTGCTGGGGATCGCAAAGATGTTGAGCTTCTAGTTGTGGGCGTCAGAAAAATTAGAGACTACGAAATCGCCTATGTGGAGCAGGTCGAGAAGGAGATTGGCGGTGATCCACGCATCCAGCTGCACGATGTGACTCATGAGGTTGACAAGTACTACGCGAAAGCCGATGTTGTGCTTCTGGCCTCGCTGAATGAGGTGACACCCATGGTCCTTGCAGAGTCAATGGCTCGCAAGACACCCGTGATCACAACGGGCATTGCAGGAATCCCAGAGATGCTCACAGACGGCGTCGAAGGCTTCATTTGTGGGGAAGAGGACACGGATGCCTGTGCTGCGGAGTGGGCCAAGCGCATGAAGGAGCTTGCAGACGACCCAGCGCTTCGTCATCGCATGGGAGAGGCAGGCCTGCAACGCTACGCGAAACAGTTCCGCTTGCAGCACATGGTGGATCAATACAGGATGCTTGCAATGCGCCTGGCCAAGCCTATCATCTTGATCGACATGGACGGCGTGCTGGTCGACTGGGACAAGGGCTTCTTGAAGGCCTGGGCCGATCGCACGGTAGTGGATCGAAGTCATTACGAGATGGAGAAATGCGTGCCGCCCGAACGCTTTGGAGAGGCAGTGGAGCTCTTCTGTTCCGAAGGCTTCTTTCGCAATCTGCCAGAAATGCCAGATGGAGTGGCCTCTTTGAAAGAGATGGTTTCCAAAGGCTTTGAGGTCCTCATTTGCACAGCTCCTTTCGCGAAGTCACGCTACTGTGCTCAAGAGAAGTGGGAATGGGTGAGGGAACATCTGGGTGATGAGTGGCTCTTGCGGATGGTGATCACCCAGGACAAGACCACGGTGCGCGGAGACGTCCTGATCGACGACAAGCCGAAAATCACAGGGAGCCAGATCCCTTTGTGGAAGCAGGTGGTCTTTGACGCGCAGTACAACCGCAATGTGGAGATGGACGGCCGCCGCCGCCTGTGCGCCTGGAAAGACTGGGAGAAGGTTCTTGCTGAGGAGTTGCCCATCCGACTGGAGGAAGAAGCGGAGGATGACCAGACTGAGGCGTCTGAGGCTTCCGAGACGAAGCCGATCTCTGAAGTTCCCTCTGAATCGACTGTCGCCATCACTGCCGAGGAGGTGGCGAAGCTGCGAGACTTCTCCGCTGAGCTTGAGGGCTCCAGCTTCCTGAAGGACTACCGTGCGTGGCGCTTGGGCAAGACGAAAGGGGCGAAAGGCGAGTTCTGGCAGGCAGTGGCAGACATCGAGAGGATCAAGAAGCAGCTCTTCCTGGAGGGAGACGATTGGTCCTCAGTGCATGTGTACCGCCACGACTATGGCAACTGGCGCCGTGGCAGGGCCCGGGGAGCCAAGGCCACCCGTGCGGAGGGCCCTGTGGCTGCAGCTGCCTTCATGTGAGAATATGTGAGAATCAGATTTTGTTGGCGGTTTCACTCATTTTAACTTCACATCACACGAGCCACATCGCTTAATCTCCTTAGTAGCCAAAGATCGCATGCGTTCGTCGTGCAAAAAGCAGTGGACTCGGCCGTGGTGCAGGCATGCAAGAGAACAGCCATCACCTCAGAGATAGCAGCTTCTCTCTTCTGGCCGCAGGAACTTCCCGATGACCTTGCGGAGGCGGCAAGAATGTGCTGAGCTTTTCTGATCCCGATTTTGCGTGAGATCCTTCCCCCGAGAAAAATTGATTCGAGGAATTTGAGTATTCGACCGCCGCTGGCGGCCCCCTTTATTCAGCGTATTGACAGCATTCTCAACATGTTGCAGGGTGTTTTTTTTGCTTGTGTAGTTCAATCATGAAGCATGTGCGAGAAAGACTCGGCATTGGCAATTCTGAAAGGTGCGCAACCGGCGCTGCTTTCTGAGCGGTGGAAGAAGGCCTTCCAAGCTGCCTCAGGCTCGGTGCTTCTTTGTCTTGGGTCTCTCCGTACAATCTAGGCCTTCCATGGAGTTTTCTCATGTTCTTCAGGACATGGCTTTGGGCTTATCTCAAGACAATTGCGGCATCGCTCAGCAGCTCCCAATCATCCTGAGTAGATTCGGTCGAGTTGCACAAAAGCTACAACGCAAGAACCAGGTAGAAAGGGCAATAGTTGGACAATGGTTTCCTTAGGTAACCGGGTTCAGCTGGATAGAGCGCATTTTCGTGACATTTGTTTCCTGGCCTTGGGGGCGGTTTTCTATCACGGAAGTAGCCGAAGTGACCGCCTTTGCTCGGACTTTGGAGGCCGGGTGAGAGAACCTCTTCAGCCCTACCTTCACCGCGCCACGGCTCAGCCTGCTCCTGCCTACGTGGAAGCGCATGGCAAAGGGGATGCGAACGGGAGGCAAAGGGATGCAGAGGGACGAGGTTGCAGTTGTCGCCAATTTGACTTTGCCCGTGGCCGCGCAAGCGGCGGAAAGCGGCGATGAACACGGGGTATTGGGTGGAAGCAGGAAAACAGGATCTGACAGGATCTCACGATTCAGCGAGCGCATGCGCCTTTTTGGGTAACACCTGGAGTGTGTTGTGTCGTTGCATGTCGTTCCACTTGCTTCTCCTGTTTCTGCTACTGAGTCGTGTCTTGCCAAACCATTTTGTCAGTAGCTTTCGGCTGCGAGCCAGCTGCCTGCTTGGAATGGGTTAGGTAATGTTAGGTACTCGTACCAATTCCAGCAAGTCGTCTCTAGTCCGTCTCAGCAAGCGGAAAGTGCGAAGAAAGAAGACACGCGAAACAGAAAACGTTGGATTTTGCACGAACGGCATCCACGATGGAAAACCATCGAGTCAAGCAAACGAGCACCGAGCAACTCACGTCTTCGCGACAGCCTCCAACGCAAGACCATGCAATTTCCTGCCAAGCTTAGCGGCCTAGCGTTGCAGTAAAGAAACGGTTGGGTGTCGTCCAGCGCGGGAGAGGAACCTGCACCAAAAGAAAGTCAACGACTGCACGTGTCCAATGCAGCGGCTCACTGACAATTGAGGAAGTAAAGGAAGCGAGGACCTGTCTGGAGCAACTGATTGTCTGTCAGGGGTCAGGGTTTCAGGGCATGCGGTATGGCAGCGCAAAGGGATTGAGCATACGACACAACCGCTACCCTTGCCAGAAGTCGCTTTTTCAGTGCTTGTTTGGTTCTTCGATCTCCAGGACTTGACTTTCAAAGCCGCAGACGTTGCGGACTAGTCGCAGGGGTTAACGTGTGACGCCAAGATTGCAGAGCAAGTGTTTGATATTTGTTCATCTACTGCGCGCTGAAGAGGTTTAGTCTGTTCATTCATGCTGGCTGCGTGCCATAATTCTGGGTCGACTGCGCGTGTCTGTCCACGGCCGATCTAGCGTGGCTTCGAGCTGGGCATGCAGCTCGTGATGTGCACAGGAAACATAATCAGTATTTTTTGGGAGTGGCTTGTGAAAATGATCGTTTTTGTGCACAAAAAGAATGTCTGGCTAAGCCGAGCGAGCTTGCATCGGATCATCGAATATGCGGACAAATTCCTAAGGAAGCTGATGTGATGGACCTTGACATGTTTGCGAGCGCAATTACCCATGTTCGTGCTCACCATGTTTGCTGGTAGCCACGTGGCTTGGCGCCGATTGCAGCAAAGTTCGCATTACAAGGTGTCGTGTTGTATTGCCTCCATTATTTGTCACGGCGCGAACCTCAACAGTGACTGCACGTCGTACCCTTGTAAGATGTGCAATAGTACATGAAGACAAGAACATATAGTGTATACATACTTTGATAGATATGATTGATACAGCACAATGCATGTCAGTACCATATAATGCCATGCGATCTTATTTGACATATACCCGAAGCCAGCATGCCGACCTTGGATGCATTTCGGTTGTTCTGCTTGTGTCATGAAGCACGTGCCCTCTCCTAGTGTGCTTCATGGGCGGCTTCTGCTGTGTTCAAAAGCGCTTGGATACGTCTGTGGACTGGATCCGGGAGAGCCTCCCTGTGGCGCTGAGCGACGATGCAGATTATGCAAGCAGCAGTTTCGCACCCCGCGCTGCAGACATGGAGAGCCCTGGAAGCCTCAAGGCGCGGCAGTCCCGGAACTGTGAAGGCCGGGATGACTTTGTCGAGGAAGTGGCCTTCCAGATTGCCAGCGACCGCCACGGGGACTTCCGCGAGCGCCGGTCGGGGGAGGGTCTGAAACACCACACGAAAACTCAGCGGGGACAGGGCATCTTACAGGGCATCTAAGCTAAGCCAGATGCATTTCCCCACCACCCCGCTTCAGCTTGTCACTTAGTTGCAGCCTAGCAGCCTAGGCTAAGCTGTTCTCGAAAGGGGATGTCCCTTGTGTGTCACACTCGGGCTCCTCCCCCTCGAGGTCGGAGTTGGTCGAAGCAGCTTCGTGGTTGCCGGTCCTTTACGAAGTGTGCCCGCCCGGCCCGGACGACATACCGCACGTGGCAAAGGCCATTCATCGGAAGACCAAAGTGCCCCGGCAGCTCGCAAGCTTCCGGAAGCCCTCCGGGTCCGCTGCGCAAGAGCGGCTCCACTCCTTCATCGCCTCTCTTCAGCGCATTTCTGCGGCAAACGAAGCGGTGGCCAAGGTTCTCGAGGTTTTTGAGGATTACCTCAACGTGCACCTCATTCAAGAGCTTTGTTCAGGAGGTTCCATCTACGAGCGAATTCTGGAGCGGCAGTACTTCACCGAGCAAGAGGCTGCTGTGCTTGTGAAACACATGCTGCAAGCCTTGGCCCCCTTTCATGACAACCACCTGTACCACGGAAGTCGCTCGGATGCAACAACCGGACTGGTTGAGTTCTCTTTTGAGTAGGCCTCACCACATGCGACAGGGGCATAAGGACGTACCAAGACTTTGAGAAGTGACAGCACGGGGGGGGGGTGGGGTGGGGCCTTTCAATGGCCTGAAAGGCCTGAGCCCAGAGTGCTTCCGCTTCTTGAACAGCTCACCGCACTCGCCGCTGAAGCTGGTGGACTTTGGCCTCGAGTTGAAGGCCCACCGCTGGAACGCCGTGGAGCACCTCAGCGGCCCCGACCTGCAGAACCCCTGCCCGGATCTCAGAGTTGCAAAGAAAAGCGCTTGCGAAATGCAAGAAAAAGTCATCAATAAAGAGCGCCTAAGGGAGCTTCCGCTTCTGATTACCTTACACTGCTACACCCCTAGAACCCCGCTGTCTCCGCAGCAGAGCAGGGCTGGGGGCGGGAGGGAGCAGGGCTCACGTTGAAGATCGTTAAGCTGTGCGCACATATGCGGCTGGGAGGATGCTAACTTACTGTAAACGGTTTGTCCAGGGAGGGATTTGGGCCGGTGAAGTGGGAGCATCGGGGTAGGTTGAACACTAAGTCTCAAGCCGTCCACATAAGGCCTTGAAACCCTGATGAACCCCCGGAAGGTCTCCCTGAATTCTTCGAGACGTGCAAGCTGGTCTTTTGCGCGCCGGATTTCGCGCCGCCCCAGCAACCCAGGCTTGGAGTATTTCGTGGGGATGAAGAGGGATTACAGGGGATCACATAAGAGTACGGCACTTGACCCTCAACACTCTCACGGTCTCCCAACCCGGCAGGAGGAAGAAGGACGCGGAGAATTCCTTGGAGATGGCAGCCTACACTCACGAGACGCCGGAGGTCTGTTGAGAGCGTTTGCCCACCCCCGCCCCCGGCCCCCGTTCACTGTCAAAAGCCTTTGGGGGCTTCACCCCGATTGTTACGATTGAGAGCATCTCCCAGGAGCAAGGCGAAGTGAATTTGCTGGACGAGGAGTTGTTGGCGAACGTCTTGAGTGAGCATGCTGATTGGGTCGAGGAGAGCCATTGAGCACTTAATCTTCATCACTGCCTCTGAATGCTGGGGTGTTGAGTGCTTAGTGAAGGCATCTGAGTTGCTCTGAGTTGACGGCCAGGAGCAGCGTGGTGTCATGGAGGGCTCCACCTCCTTCTCCACGAAGAACGAGGCAGCTGACGTTTGGAGCATCGGCGCCATGGCCTTCCTGCTCCTTTGCGGCCCGGATGCATCCCCTTGAGCAGAGCGAGCAGAGCTTGCGCTTGCGCTTGCGCTTGCGCTTTGCGATGTCTTTGTGGTTTCTTTTTGTAAGGCGGCTACCCGCCCTTCTTTGCTCCATCTCGGAATGCCATCCTCGGCCGCATCCATCGGTGTGAAGTCTCTTTTGACCCACCCTTCTGGTCCAAGATCTCGGAAGAGGTGTCAGGGTGTGATGCAGTGTGAGACGGAGTGATGTGCGGGGTGATGTACGGAGTGTGAGCCCGAGCCACTCTTTACGAAGCGCAACATGCCAGGCGAAGAGCTTCGTCTCCAGCTGCCTGCAACAATCCTTCTGGGATCGATGCAGCATCCAGGCCATGGTCAGGTATTCTTAGGTGGGATCAGGTGGGATCAGGCGGGATCAGGTGGGATCAGGCGCGATGAGGTGGGATCAAGCCCAGAAGACCTTGTGATTCTTGATTTTCTGTGCGCTCCCTCAGGAGGCTTTGAACCATCCGTGGATCTTGAGGCTTGCTGACAGCTCGCCATCAGGATCCATGTTTGCCTCCTTTATGCTGAACCTGCGGCGCTTCTATCGAACGTCACTGATAGAGATCTACACTGCTAGAATTCTCGCGACGCAATTCCGTCGCGAAGAACTGCACGAGTTCCTTTGCCGATGCCGGGAAATCGACATGGCAAGCAGCGGCTTCTTCACGGCCTCTGACCTCAAGCACATATTGTCAGCTTTGGGCCATCCACAAATCGCCGAATCCATCTCAAGCCGTTTTCTGCAGACGTTCAGGCACCCGGGCGAATCTTACATCGACTACATGGCATTGCTGGACTCTGTCCATCTTCGGCAGCAGCGCATGTTCGAAGATGAGCTTTGGCGTCACTTTCAGCGAGTCCTGCAAAGCAGCGGCCGTTGTGATGTAGACGGCATCTGCAGCTGCCTGTTCGTGAAAGACCTGGGCATCGCACCTTGTTGAAACAGCCCTGCCTAGGGTGGTAGAAAATTTTGGTACTTTGGTAGCCGCGTCGACTTGAGAGGTAGAGTTGAGGAGAGGATGCAGCAGGAGAGAATGCGGAAGACCCAGAGGCAGAGAGATACCAACGGTTAAAAACGTACATCTAAGAAAAAGAACAAGCATCAAAGACGTGTAAAATTCGAAATAGGCAACTGTCCAAAACTTCTCAAGCGTCTAAGAACGTGTATACTGAGGTCTTCGGCGACCCGGTCATTGTGGGCCTCCTGATGCGCGAGATCCCCGACAGCCCGGGCCTCGAGGTGCCTCGGAGTCCCCCAAGAAGAGAGAAGAAGCGAACAGAAGAGAAGGAAGAGAAAAGAAGAGAAATTCAGAAAAGAAGAGAAAAGAGACAGCCGAGACCACTCACTCGCGCTCTCTTTTTTTTGTCATTCCTTCTCTTTTTCTCACTTGCTTTCTTTCCCTGTCTCTTTCATTTTCTATTCTCTCTCTATCTCTCTTTTACTCAAAGCCCCCCCGTCCCCATCCCGTTCAGTTCTCTTACCGCTTTCTGAAAGAAAGAGGAGCGGCTCTTCCCTCTCCTCCCTCCCTTTGAGGATCTCTCTCTCTTGCAAGCATCCTCCAACTTCCCCCCCATACAGAAGATCATCGGAGGGGAGCGCTTCCACTGGCTGCGTGTTGTTGCGCTTCGTGGAGGCGCTGTTGCGAGGGTTTGTTTCAGGCGCCTGCTTGCGTTGAGCTTCCCCGTAATTCGCGGCCAAAGATGCAGCCAAGGACGCCAGCGTCTGCCATCGCCTACAGATGGGGCTCCGGGCCGAGTGTGCGCAGCGCGGTGCTGCGCAGCTGGACTTTCGCACGCTTTGCTCGGTGCTCCTCCAGCTTCTGCGGCAGTTCTGACATCTTCTGAACGGCCAAAAAGTGCCGAGGAATGATTGCCAGTAGAATGTGTCTGCAGTGAGTGCAAGAGCGTTCAGCTTTCACATGCACGCCACCGTCTCCGCGGCAGAAGCGCTGACCGAGGGGACGGAAAAAATTGCCTTCAGCCTGTTGACGTTTCGAGTGGGAAGTGCAAATCATGGGTCACTGGTCCACAAAGAGTCAGCCATCTGAGCCTGTGGCCACATCTGGCTCGAGACAGCTTACACGTTTATAAGAGTACATATTCCAAGCACCTCTGAGACTGTGCATTGTTCGGGTGATGATGGGTGTATGTGTTTCATTGTATGTGGATGTGTATGGTAAAGGTATGTTACGTGTAATCACGCCGTGTGTATGTTGTGTGCCTGTTCTACGTATGCGTGTGCGTATGCTATGTTCTGTTCTGTTCCGTGCTGTGTTGGACAGCGAACCAGCCCTCCTTGACTCGGAACAGAACACAAATCACAAACAGTCCCAGTTGAGGGAGCGCTGACTGATGAAAGCTTGTACCTGAGATGGAACCGGACCCTAAGCAAGGCACAAGGTAGAAGTCTTGGTCTTATCCAATCTGCTCCAGACAGAACCCTAATGCAAACATGTCCCTGCTTGGACTAGAGTCCAGATTGGAATAGTGAAGTCGAGATCGTGCTCTAAGTGAAACGGATGGATTGGAACCGATACCAAGACTTACGGTGATAGAACGAAGACCCCCACCACAATTGAGTTCCAATTCAGGTGGTTAAGTCTGCTTAACAGACTCAATGGAAATGGAATCCAGTTCGTGTCGTGGCGGAGCTGAAAATTAAGTCCTCCGTGGATGGAGACAGTTTTGAAGCCGGAGCGACAGCCGGATGGAGGGGTGGATCCTAATTGGCATGGAGTTCGAGTCGACGTAGGTTCTTTGTCGAAATACAGGCGTTTCATGAAACTTGAATGGTGACAGAACCCTAGCCGGGATAGAGTTTCGGCTGACACGTAGTCTGACAAGACATAACTGGGACGGATAAGAAACTTCTTGATTGCCTTAAAATGGAATTTGTGAAGACGTTTATCGCCTGATAAACAGAAAGCTATAGGTCAGTAAGAGAGGCCCCTTTCTTTGCGTAAGAAGCAAAAGAGCTCCAAAATCTTTTCAAATAAATCAGCTTTCACTCTCACGACAAGGAAAGGGAAAGGAAGGGAAGGGAGGAGTAGGAAGGAGATAGAAGTAAGGAAGGCAGAATTGAGAAATCATCATTTTCCCCTCGGGAAGAATTTGCTTCGACAAGTTACGAGGGTTGTGTTGACATGCACCCTCCCGTTGTTCCACGCAAACCCCAAGCTTCTAAATTCAGGCTTGGATTGGAATACATCATGTCATGAGGCGAAACTGTTGCCGTTTGTTCCCAATCATTTTGTACAAGAAACCTTGATGTGAGACGAGGCAGAAGCAACCCAAGCGGGTCGGGAAGCAGAGCATCTGGCATGTCAACTCAAACGATGCGGTTGTCTGGGTTGCACAATCGGTTATCTTTTTTGGCCTTTACTGTTAGAGTCTCAAGAGCCTGGAATATCAGGCTGCAAGGGCGACGTCCCACCAACATAGCAGAAGAGAGTGAGCTTCTTACCCAAGACGGCTTTGTCGGCCAAGCACGAAGAGGCTTAACTCATCAACACCTTTAACTCTTCTCTACAACAAAGAAAGAAATTTCACCTTCGAACCGCAAGCGCTCCGGACGTCTTCGTCCTACGTTTGTACTGCACAAGCTCCCTCTCTAACACCCTGAACTCCAAGCGTTCTCTAAGGGTCATCGCCTCTTACCCAAAATGTGCGCCACACGCAGGCTTTTGGCACTGTGGCACGGCCACGCTGTGTGGTTGCTTGCACAGTTTCGATGGTATATTTGGAGAACAAAAAGTCCCAAGACTGTCGTTGCCACCGTTGGCTTTTTCAGTTTCGCAAGATCTTATGCCCTTGAACGACGCGGGAAACCTTGAAGTCTTCTCGTTCGACGCCTATTCAACAGTGCTTCCCGCAGAAAATGAATTCAAAACAAGTGCAAATGTCGTGCTTTCTTTGCCGGCCATGGTGAAAAACATGCTGAAGTCTCCCGCAACACAACCAAATGTCTTCCGCTTTCACATGACTTACACGTTTAGTTTCAGATGAGGCGCTGTATGTCATCGAACTTGTGAAGCTCCTTGTTTCTCTGCTTCTTGATCCCCGGAATAGCGTAACTCACCTGTGGAGAAAACTTTAACAGGTATCCGTGCATTGGCCAGCACGCAGAAAAGAACGGCATTTTGTGAAACATGTCGCCTTGTGCCGTTCACGTGTGGCCCAACTCCTGATCTGCACGGCACAGCAACAGCAAACAAGTTTTTGCCGCTAGATGACATGCAGTGCTTCCAAGCCATGACGCTGGAAACCCACCAATGGCCCAACAAGGGATCAAAAGCCATGAAGAACCGCCAGGGCTCCATGTTGCGCAACAAAAAGGCTTAACCGTCAGGGGTGGTGCGACGGCGCGCTGTTGTTTGTCTTTATCTGTTTGTGTTTCTACATATACATGTGTGCATGAGATGTGTATGTTCTTGCAGAGATTGGGTTGAGATTGAGGCAGTCTCCCTTCGCAGGTTTACAGGGTTTCTTTTCGAAGTATAGCGAAAGGTCTTATGCCCTATGCAGGAAACCTGCAAGTGGCACGTGAGCCATGCGGGCCATTGAAGCAGTGGCAGACTTGGGCGCTCTGAGCAAATGGGCGTGTGAATATCACATCGCATCAGAGGCGCTTTCGCTGCAAAGCCAGAGTTATGGGAACTTGTCCACTCCTGAACTGCTTGTCCTGAGAGGCCGCGGAGCCCAGGAGAAGAACTCGGGGAGATCCTTGGACTAAATCTGAGGTAAGAAGAGTAAGTCGCTGCACACCCTGCATTTCCCGCAGCCCCTGCAGTCACAGGCATCGAAGCCCACTACGGAGCATGCCGGAGGGACTCCGCGTCTGTCTCGGGGTAGCACACGCGAAGGACACATGACACAAGTCGTTTCGCCACGGGGAATTAGAGAGAGGAAGGAACAGGACTCAACTTTGAAAAGAGAGTGTGGGTTTTGTGTGCCTTTGACTGTTGAATCGTTGCAGGAATCGACTCCTGGAGCGGCTCCATGGAGAGAAGCAACTCCCTGAAGAGGGACGAGGTGCGGATGCCGTGGATGCTGTGGATGCCGCGGATGCCCATGTTGCGTTGCCTTCTGTGCGGTGGCCGTAAATTAGGCAAGGAAAAGCATCAGAATGCATCAGTGGGGAATCCGGGATCTGAGTGGGGAGAAGTTTGGGGCGACAGGAGCGGGGCTTCACCGGTTCAGCGTCCACCACGCCGCATGGGGGCCCAGGGATGCTGGCAGTTGCCGTGAGTTGCCGTGGCAAAAGCCCAGTTGACCAGTATCTCCGCCTTGTGAACGTGCGCCTGTGCTCAGGAAGGGTGAGCTGATGTGTCGGATCCCAAGCAGAGGATCCTTGGCACGTTCTTCCAGAAGTACCAAGGACAACTCTTCTTGGTGATTTTGATGTCACATAGTCACGACATGGTCCTGATCTTCCTGTTGTGCCTTGCTACCTCCCTCGTTGCTTTGTTTCTCTTTGGATCCTCAGAGGAGCCCTTGCCAAGCAGCCCACTTGCGGAGAGCGAGGAACACCCATGTGCCAGCACGGCCACGGCATAGCCACGGCATGGCCACGGCATGGCCACAGCATGGCCTCTTTGTGCAGCGGGCTGTGAAAACGTTGCAAGGAGATGGTTGGCCAACGACGCGGCTTGAACCTCGAGTTGGAAGATCGGGAGGCGCAGACAAGCATGTGCGATTTCAAGATTTCAAAGTGTGCCGAAGATGGCTCTGCCATGCCTTGCCAGGAGTCTGGCACGTTGGCACTGCGCGAGGCGCTGGAGTCCAGATGTCTAAGTCACTGAGATGGTTCCAAGGGATGGTTTCCCAATGTTTCACAGTCTGCATCCCAGGGCTCGCTTCGGCTCGTTGGACAGGAGACTTCCTTGGCATTGGCGACTAGGTCGGAGGAAATGGCGCTGGTGCCTGTGCGCCTGGGTTCAAGCTGTGGAATGCTGTGAAGACTTCTGGAAAGAACTTCTGGGGCGTAACCGCTTCTGGGAAGAGAGTCTCAGTTCCCCACTTCCGAGGGCACGGCCATCGCCCAAGACGCGGCGGATGAAGACGGAGTTGCTTTCCACTCACCCGTGGCTCAAGCAGCTCCAGCAGAGGCTCGGACGTTTGAGCACAGCAAGAGCAATCAAGTTATATATATGGGTGGTTGTCAAGATTATGGTCCCTTTTTGGATCCCTATTTTAATACGGCACCTAATATTTAGGGTACCCTAAAAGGAATCATAATTTTGACATCCACCCATATATATATATATCTACATATATATATATAGATATTTTTGTGTTTTGTGCCTTTGAGGTCCTTGCACGGATCTGTGCCGGGTTCTCCGAGTGGTCTTAGCCGTCCGGGCGACACCCGCTGGCTTGGAGGAAAGCAGGCGTGAAGATTTTTGCACGGAAGCATGAACAGCATATGACTGCAGCAGCAGAAACCTCGAGACCCAACTCCCACAACAGGCCTCCTCGACATCGAGCCTGCCACCTTTGGACAACTTGCAGATTCAACTCCACGATGGGCAACAAATGGAGGCCAGCTTCCTGATCTTCGGTTTGTGCATTCTGCGCGACGATGTCGTGACTGTGCCGAGTTGGTGGCCTATGCCTCTCGAACAGCTTCCCATCAATCGGTCCCAGGAGTGCAGGAGGACACCTCGCTTTCAATGACTCAAGCCACAGTAGAAGCTCAGCATGAGGGGAAGCTGAAGCTTCGTCTGCGAGGAGTCGAGGGCTGTGGGCAGGCAAGGCTCTGCGATGTTATGCCTCATGAGATGTTTCGAGCCTTTTTTGAAGGCGTTGCCCAGGGTAGAGCACCTGTGCAGCACATGCGCAGCATGCAGAGAGGCTTTGTCGGGAAATGACATGGAGCAGCAAAGATGAGAGGGATCTCCTCGGCGCCGTCGTCGCACCCGCCGACAGGTCCCCCGTATGTGCAGCATCAGACGCCGTCAAAGGACGGTATAAACCCTTATATTGAAGCTCTCCGAAGCCCTCTGAATCCCTCCGGCTTTCTCAAAGGCAACGACAAGAGCAGGGGCTACTGCCACAGAGCATCCGCTCTATGGACTACTGGCGAGCCACGGAGCTGTTCCACCTCTTTGACCGACGGACAGGCACAGCCACAGAGATCGCTCTTTTCGGGAGTTCTTTCTTGGAAACTGAGTCGAGGCATGTCGAGGCTACTATTCGGTCATCGAAGCAAAATTTGCGGTTTGCGGGGTCTTGGGCTGTCCAGATCATGTGGGCTTTCCCAATATTTTGCACACGGTGCAGAATGTTGACACCTGGAGGTGAGCTGGACAAGCTGGGCTTCTACCACCTGCTGACGGCCGCCTCTCGGGACCGCGAAAACATCGCCCGACAGCGCAGTGACGCCCGCCTTTTGAAGAGAGTGTTTGGGGGGGTGATGCACCGCGGTGCATAGATGTTCCTAGATCCCGTTCACACTGCAACGAGTGCCGCAAGCCCCTCAGATGACCAAGTGAAGTCTCAAAGTGGTTTGCAGAAAGGCGGGCCTTTCTTTGCCTCCTCAAGCTTGTCTCCTGTTTCTCCTCAAGACGAGGATGCGATCTTCGACGAGATCGACATCGACGGCTCAGGGAAGACGCTTTGTTCTGTTTGCGGCAGCGTAAAATTCTTGAATATAAACGGATGTTTTCTCATTTTGCAGTTAGGAAGGCAGGCCGGTCTCAGGACTACTAGTAGAGCGTGCAAAAAGGATCGACAAAGAGGAGTTCTTGGGCTGGGTCTTCCAGACCAACAACAGCTTCCTCAGCTCAGTGAGGAGGTGCTCCATAGCAAGAGAGCAGTTGAACTGAGAGCACAGATGAGGGCACCGAGAGACGGAGTAAGTGGAAGAAAGCGAGAGATGAGGAGACGAGCTGAGAAGGGGGATGGTTTGGCGACTTTTGCGAGTGAAATGAAGGTTGAGAAAGTGAGATACAGCGAGATGATTTTTCAGGCGGTTGGAAACCATGGACCAAGTGAAGGTGAAAGCCTTGTTCGAGCAGTTGGACTCCCTCTTGCATTAAGTTTCATGTATGTTGATGTCGCTGAATTCCCGGCTGGATTTCCACAGTTTGCTCGCCACTCTTTGAGGTTCGGTTGAGGTTCTGTGGGCTGCTGACTCATTGACTTGACTTCCCCTTGTGAGATTCCCAGACTGCATTTGACTGTATTTCAGCCGCCAAGGACAATGATGGCAACAAGGTCATCGACAGAGATGAGTTCTGGGAATTCGTTGAGAAGTTTAGTCCCGGGATGTTGCCGGGCACTCAAATCTGGCACGGCACTATACGGCACTCATGCGTAGGGCAGCATAAGCCAGTATAAGGCACCATAAGGCAGCATAAGGTCTCGGTCTGCAAGCGACGAGCTGCATGAGTTTATTGACGCGGACAAGTCCGGCGGCATCGCCGGAAACTCGGTGGGTGCCCGTTCCCGGAAGGGTCACAACCCCTAACAGCATCTAACGCCGTTTGGAGATCCACTTCGCATCACTGTCAGCAGCAAACACAGGCACCATGATGTGAGTTTTTTCGAGGGTGAACTCTGCAACTGGACTGGAGAATGCAGAAGAGGAAAGCGGGCAGTGGGCAGCGAGGGGCAGTGCCAGGATGTGGACGAGTTCCTGAATTGGGTGCATCCTGGGCGGGAGCTCAAGATGCTGCGTGCAGAGGTGCGTGATGACAAGGTGCTGACCCTCAGAATCCCTCAGATGCGGCAGCACATGGCAGCGACATAGCGGACATAGCAGACACGTCCTGCGGAGCTGAGGCGATTACTGGCAAGGTAGCGGTGGGGATGGTAGCGGTGGATGAGGCTTGGGGCTGTTGTGTGTCTGTGTGTTTCTGGCTCGCTGATGGGACTCTTGGGACTCTTTACTTTGTCATCAACGACAAGCTGTCGTTTTTGCACGGGCACTTGTGGGACTTCTGTGCGAACCCTGCCAGAACTCCTACGTGGCCCCCAAAAAGCCACTCATGGAGACAGAGCCTGGCAAGCCAGTGGTCCTGGAGTTTTGGCCGCTCAGACTACATGGCGCAATGGTGGCTCGTGGTGTTTTTTTTCTCTCTCTCTCTCTCTCTCTCTCTCTCTGTCTCGCCCTTGACAGAAACTGACAAGAGTACGACACCCCCCAAACAGTTTCCGCTCAACTCCGCTAAGCTCTTCGAAGCAATGCTCTGCCCCTCTTAAGACTCTGCAGACTCCAAGGATTGGTAGCGAATGGACTGGGGCTTTTGAGTCGATCAAGCGCAGCCTCCGCAGCGTGTTCAGCTCGCAACAGATCAGGCGCAACATGTGGCCGCATGCAGCGCCAAGTCACCCCAACAGCATGGGCTCTCCACGGAGCAGCGGAGCTCTCGCAGCGTTTTCTGAAAAACCGCGAGCTCTCCACTTCAACGCACAGGTATGCAGCTGAGTGCAACTTGCACTGAGGGTTTAGGGTTTAGCATCTTCGCAGGTTCCAGAGTCGCCGGGACCCTCGCGTCATCCACACCTGCTCGAAGTTGGTCGCCAAGGTGTGGCACACCACATCCGGATTACAAAAACTCTCACAATCTCTCACAGCTCAGCTCTAAAGCATTCTCTCAATCCACTCTGGGTTGGTGCCGCACTCCGGTAGGTTGGCCGCGGGATTGTCCTCTGGGACCGTGACTCGATGCTGATGTTCAAGGACGATCCGTTCATGAACCAGGCATTCTGCCAATGCATTCTGCCAATGCATTCTGCCAATGCATTCTGCCAATGCATTCTGCCAATGCATTCTGCCAATGCATTCTGCGAATCCAGGGCCCAATGTGAGCAATTACAGGGCACTACAGCTTGTGGTGGAGGTCGAAGAGGGGCTCAGGGGGGCTCAGGATCTCGGGATTCAGTCTAATTGCGGAGGCTGAAAATCTAGAAACCCCACCTGCCCATCTGCAGCTCTACACCTCCATGATCTGACTTTGAGGCAACAGCTGGCAAGTGGATCAAGGAAGTGCTTCTCCAGTGCCTTCCAGATGTTATAAATGTGCCCCGGCAAACTCGCTGGCTAGTGCCCCTTCACGTGCATTCTTGTGCATTTTGTGCGCATTCTTGTGCATGCCTGACCGCTTTGCAAGGCTGCCAACGTGAGGCTGCTGAAGAGAAAGAAGTTGCACGTTTGTTTTGATGCCCGGCAGAGTTAGCGACCGGCCTGTCTGGCTGGGGTGGATGTGCAAGGCATGTGCAAGGCATGTGCAAGGCATGTGCAGGCACGTGGAGGCACGCTTGCGCGGGTTTGCGCAACATCGCCCTCAAGCATCTGGGAAACTGTAACGTCTAAAGTTGCGTGACGAGTGACGGGTGATTTCTCGACAGGTGTGTGGTGTGAGAGCCTGCCAGAGTTATAGGGTTCTAGAACGTGAGACGAGCAACTCCGAGGAATGCGGAAAATCCTTGGAAGGCGAGCTGCCGAACTAGCTGAACGTTGTGGCTTCTGCAGGTAGCAACTCTGTCTTGCCAGGCTCGCGATACCTCAATGTCTTAGAATACAAGGTGTGCAGCAAGCCGCGCGTCTGCAGCTGTGGCATTCTCATGAGATCGGAGATATTGGGGGTTTTAGGTGCGTCAGGTTCGTCTCGTAGACTTCAGCATTCAGGCATTGCGCGGGACTGCTCAAGGCACGCGCGGCTGGGCCCCCAACCGCAAGAGCCTTGTGAGTCTGAGTTGTGCTGCCAAATTGTGATGTGAGGTGATTGAAGATTGACATGAGGACAGAGGTGCTGCGAAAAGCAGCACGCTGTACTTCGTGGGGAGAAGAGCCAGTAGCTTTCGACACTGCAGGGGTCTGTGGATGTCCGCGGACGTCCACTGCCACGAAAGGGCTCCCAGGGCACAGAGCAGAGCGGTCTGCAACCTGAACCTGATGGCCAGCTTGCAGCTGGACCCAGCTGCCCAGCAGCTTTTCAATTTTTTGCTTTTTTTTTTTGTGCATGCAATGTGGAAAACGTGAAAGGCAGAAGACAAGCCGCTTGCTGCCCCACTTTCAGAGCTCCTTTCCAAGCCAAGTAGCATTTTGCAAGTATCTGATCTCGCCTAGCCGGTGGTATGCCTCGATTCCAAGACTCAGTTGCCGAGAGCTCTGCAATGCTGGGTGAGTGTCGGGCAAGTGTCGGGCAGAGCTGCGAGCAGATATCTCGCCTTTTATCCACGGCCTTCCTGATAATGACTGAGGGCTTCAGGTGTTCTCATGTAGCCCCTTGTATGCATCTGCATGACCACCATGCGCGCCGTTCCTTCAAGAGGCTTCTGGCTGCACATCGGCCTGCAGATTACCCAGCGTTGAGGAAAAGCAATGCAGCACCTACCGCAGGTTTTGACACCACTTGGGACACCCCCTTGACATGAATCTGCCTGTTCAGGGGTTCAGGTTGAGAAGCAGACCCTTGTGAGAGAGAACCTGAATGATGCTATCCAGGTTCCTGTACGACACCCAAAGTAGACGTAAGTAGACTCAGTCAGTATTCGCTAACATTGAGTCGACAGAGGGTGAGGAGGCATCGGCTGATCGGCCTATGGTGGATCTTGGTCACGAGTTTCCCTGATTTGAGAACCGCTGAGGTGCTCTGGCAGCGATCATTTTGGCCGCTTTGTTTCGCTCAAGCCTAGACTTGCACAGTGTTCCCAGCACTCCGGCGTCTTTCACAGAAGGTGAGGCTCTGAAGTCTATCGGGTCAATGCTTTGCGTTGGTTTGCTTCTGAAGACTTCCAAGCATCAGCCGTTCAGAGGTGCGGATGTCGGTGCAGAGCCAAGCGGTGCTGCATGAAGTGGTGTGCCGCCAGCGGTGCCAAGACGAGGTCCTATGCCCTCGAGCATATGTAGCCCTCACGGAAACTGGTGCCCATGCCTCAGCTGCATCTTTATAAATTGGCAGAGGCCTCAAGGGCCTCAAGGGCCTCAAGGCCTTAGCTTGTTGGGGTGGGCTTCTCTCTGTGTGGCCGCTTGTGAGGATGGCGAGGGAATCATAGCCCGCTTGAAGCACGAGATCGAGCGCAGGGTGAAAGAGGACGTGTTTTTTGCTGAGTAGGCATTGTAAGAAGTTCGCCCTATACCAGCAACGCACTGCGGAGGACCCTGAGACCGACTGGATCACTGCTGAGCGCCAGCCACCTTGTCACAGTGTACCATGTCACAGCTGTCACGGCTGCTTGTCGGTCACAGCCGTTTGTCGACATGTGTTAAACTCTTAAGCTGCATGCTTCCAAAAATGCAGCTGTTCGAGATGCAAGCTCCAGCAAAGTTCCGGTTTAGGCTTTGGGGTTTCGGGGTCCCCGGCCCCTCCCGGTCCCAACAGCACAATTTGTTTTTGATTTTGGGCCCCTCCGGCCCACACCCTGCAACTTCACCACCCGCCCCGGGCGCCCCACCGTCCAACAACACGGCCTCGACTGCGGTGGCCTCGCTTTGAGGTTTTGGTCTTTGCATGTCTTTGTCCAAGCCGGCAGATCTTCAAACCATCAGCTCTGCTTCCCACTTTTCCCAACTGCCTCCCCCCCCCCGGCCTCAGGCTTAGCCGCTTTGCCCAAATCTTGGGGTCGATGTTGGAGCCCCCAAGTTTCAAGCATGAAGACGGCAGCTGCAGTCGCCGTAATCACGAAAGCTTCAAGGCCAGCTGATCCGGCCAGCATCTGACATCGAGGATGAAGGCCTGCAAGTTGGACTGTAACGTTGCCACCGCATGTGTTCCATGAATGGTGGTGTGCGTCCTCCAGCCCTTTTTCACTGTGCCTGGCAGTACTTTATGGCACCAGGAGTGCAGCTGTCCTTATTCGTTGCATTTCGTCACCCCTCTCGTTGTGTCTTCTGCAGTTTTCTTGATGCGGTTTCTTCCCGGCTGGTTTCCTCTCATGATTTTTGCATGTTTTCCATCCTCTCTTATGTTCAGTCTTCGAAACAAGGCATTTGGTTTCTCGGACTAGATCAGCTTTCTTGTTGCTTTCCAATCAAACCGCAAAAGAGCACACGAGGGCCCAAGGACGCGTCCAAGTCAAGAATGTCAAGAAGCCTTCATGGTTCTTTGTCCGTCGTTTAGCGCGGCCATTGGAGCCGTATGTAGTGGAAAACGCTCGAACTTGTCGTCGAAGTCTGCCTGGTGGAAAAGTTCCCAACGCCCAAACGCAATGCTGTGAAGAGCAGGACAACAGGGGAGAGGCAGCTTGCAAATAATGTACTCGCCTGGGCAGCCAAAAGACAAGGAAACAACAACAGGCTACTCCGCGCGAGCGCGAAAGCAGCAGCTTCTGCACAGTGCACCGAGAGCGCAGCCGAGGGAAAGAAAGTGTTTGAGAGCCATTTCTGCAAGCATGAGTCAATGTTAGCATCATGCGCTTTACGACTTTACTTACGCCCGCACGACCCCCAACCGCTGCAATGCATCACTGGACGTGGCCTGCAGAATGAAAGGGAGCAAGGCACATGACCAGAGAACATGGTCTTGAGTCTTGAGTCCCAACATCAGGGCAGGAGAATATGATTGGCCGACTGCGAAGCAGTGGGCCAATCAGGCGGATGGCCACACATGCCGCGCAATGATACCAGGGAAAAGGCACATAAAGGCACCAGCAACCAAGGCTCTGTGGGCTGCAAAACTAGATGCAAAGCCATGGGCAAGACGGGAAGGGCCGAGGCTGCGAAATTTGCGAAACCTGCGAAGCTGTGCGGGCAACAAAGGCCGGATCGAGGAATATGATTGACCCACTGTGAAGTGTTCAGCCACAGCCCGCGCCACCGGTCTGCGCGGAATTGATCTTCATTGCCCTGCTTCGGTGGTCTCCATGGCCATGTGCCTGAGAAGCCCATCGGTTCCTGATGTGGCCGGGGTGAGTGGTCCGCCCCTGTGATGGTGATGAGATCCACCAGACCAGAGAGGGAAAAGGTGTTTTGCTGGGCATGCAGGGATCTCAGGGCCTTTGGCCGATGTTGAAGTTGATGTCCATCACAGGCGTGTCCGGTAGATGCCACCACCCCACGCTTGTCAGGGAGCAACTGGAACACGCACTATTCTCAAACCCACCAACCCACCCCCCCACACCCCCCCACTTTCCCCCCCCCTGCTCCCTTCGTGACTACGAAAATAGTCACAAGTAAGTGACTAACAGCACAAAGGACGCAGGTGAGAAATGTTGACCCCTCTCGAGCGGGAGCAACGTTTTTGCAAAATCTATAGTTGTAAGTGAGTTGACAAAAAGCAAGCAACAGTCATGCGTGAGAGGGATTTCTAGTCGCAAGTGACCATAAACAAGACAGTCGCAAGTGAGAAGATTTCGTAGTCACAAGCGAGTGGTTGGCCTTCGGGCTGGTCAAGCAGAACTCTTCCTAAGCTAGGCAGCTCTCACAGCTGATGTGCAGGGCGGCTATCGTTTTACGAGTGGCAGGAACTGCAGGGCCTGCCCGGCACTCAATCCGCGGGTTTTCAGCCTCTGTCGCATTTTTCCGCTTCGGTTAGCCTTGCACCCGCCGAGGAGGGCACGAGAGAAGGAACATGCAGCGGAGATCCAGCGACTGCAGAAGCGGGTGGAGGCGGCTTCCTTCGTTACTTGTAGTTCATTTGTAGTTCAATGCCACTCGCATGCACATTCCTGCAGATTCCAATGCTGGATTGTGGGGACAGGAAGCGGAAGGCCCTCAACATTTGAAAGTCAAGGCCTTGGAGGAGGAGCTGTAGAAGATCATGACATGGCTCAATGTGATGGCTACATAAGTTGGCTTGCTGTGTGCTTAAGTTGGCTAGTTGGCAGCCAGGGGGAGTCCGGTCAGGAGTTGTCCTTGACGGACAAGCTCTTCGTGGAACGCAACCAGCACTGCAGAAAGGCACCCTCAGACCACTGCTAGTGAGTTTAGAAGGGGCTTTGTCGCTCTACATAGCTGTTGCTCTCAACAGTTGCAGGTGGAACTCGAAAAGTCCAACGTGAACTCGGCACTGAAAGCCAAGGCCGGGAGAATGATCGGTAGATGTGGTGGAGGACGAGCCTCCCCGATATTCTCCCTGAGCCGAAGGAGAAGGAATTGAAGGACTTGCGGGAGGAGTTGGCAGCTGCCAAGGAGCAGTCGCAGGCACTCCTAGTAGAAGCCCCTAGCGAGGTGTTGGGGAAGAGATGTTCGGGGGAGGGATGCTTTTGCCTCTTGAAGTGCTTTGATCGAGGCGGCTCTTGGGCGCCTCGGCGAGAAGGAGACCGAGGCCAAGGCCGGCAAGAAGAAAAGTGAAGAGAGCGAGGAGGAGAGCAGAAGAAGCAGAAGAAGCAGAAGAAGCAGAAGAAGAAGAAGAAGAAGAAGAAGAAGAAGAAGAAGAAGAAGAAGAAGCAGGAGAGAATGATATGAAAAGAGAGAGCAGAGGAAGATGAAAGAACTGCGAAAGAAAGACGGGGGAAAAACGACTCTGAGAGGAACTGAGCTTCGGGCCAGGGTTTTGGAGATTGTTTAAGGGCCCAAAGGATGCTGTAGTGCGCATGAAGGAGAGAGAGAGAGAGAGAGAGAGTGAAAGAGAGAGAGAGAGAGTGCGTGAGAGAAGACATCGACCGCCACTGGGGACGTAAGTTCGGCTTTTCTGCTGTCTTCACGTTTTCAACTCTTAGTTGGCCACATGGCAAAACCCTCAACACATCTTCAACAAATCCCATTCTTCAATCACAAGTCGCAAATCATAACCATCAGCCCAAACCCACAGCGCATCCAAATGACATCATTATCCGAAAGCCTCTGCCGAAGCC